GGGGGAGGGGGGGCGGGGGGGGGCCAGAAGCTGAACATGCCCAGCCTGAGCTCTGCCGAGCTGTGGCGTGCCAGCGGCCGCTGGGACGGGATGGGGCCGGAGCTCTTCCGGCTGGCTGACCGGCACGGCAAGGGCTACTGCCTGGGCCCCACGCACGAGGAGGCGGTGACAGAGCTGGTGGCTGCTCAGAGCAATCTGTCCTACAAGCAGCTCCCGCTGCGCCTCTACCAGGTAACCAGGAAATTTCGGGATGAGCCCAAGCCCCGCTTCGGCTTGCTGCGCAGCCGGGAGTTTTACATGAAGGACATGTACAGCTTCGACGCCTCCGGAGAGGCGGCTCGGCAGACGTACAACCTGGTGTGCGACGCCTACCGCAGCCTCTTCGACCGCCTGGGCCTTCCCTTTGTCAGAGTGCAGGCAGCTACGGGCAACATCGGCGGCACCGTGTCCCACGAGTTCCAGCTCCCAGCAGATGTCGGCGAGGACAGGCTGGCGGTGTGCCCTGACGGACATTTTGCGGCCAATGTGGAAACGCTAAATGGGGAGCAAACGTCTTGCCCCACGTGTGGAGAAAAACTCACCCAGACCAGAGGGATCGAAGTGGGGCACACGTTTTATCTGGGCACCAAGTACTCCTCTGTCTCCAACGCTGTCTTCTATTCCCCTGACAACAAGCCCCAGCTGGCAGAAATGGGCTGCTACGGCCTGGGCATCACTCGCATCCTGGCAGCCTCCATCGAGGTGCTCTCTACGGAGGACAGCATCCGCTGGCCAAGCCTCATCGCGCCCTACCAGCTCTGCTTCATTCCCCCCAAAAAAGGCAGCAAAGAGGAGGAGGAGGGAGCCATGCTGATGGAGCGAGTGTACGATGACCTCATGGAAGCACTGCCCCACCTCGCCGGCGACTCGGTGCTGGATGACAGGACACAGCTGACCATCGGCAGAAGGCTGAAGGACGCCCGCAAACTGGGTTATCCCTACGTGGTCGTAGCCGGGAAGAGGGTTTGCGAGGAGCCCCCAGTCTTCGAGGTCTGGAATCAGAACACTGGTGAGGTTTTGTTCCTCACCAAGGAAGGTGTCTTTGAGTTGCTGAGTAAAGTGCAAGTCCCTTAAACTCCCCGTCTCCGAATCTCTCATCTTCGCTGCGCTAAGTTCATCTGAACAGCCCTGGTTCCTTTTCAAGGACGTGTAGGTTGTCGGCAATGGCTCTGGGTGAGCGGAGCCGAACCCAGCTCACGTCGGAGCTGGCCAGGGGTGTCTTGCAGCCCAGTGCTGGGGTTGAGCTGGGGTCAGCCCACATTACCCTGTGGGGCCAGGGACATTGCTGCCTCTGGCTACAGACCCTCACCACCAGCTGCTTTTACCGGCATGTGTAACCTCGCGCGGCTGCGGGAGCACTGGCAGGGTCAGCCCCTCGCTGCCTGGCCATGGCAGACAGGCTGGCGATGGCCTCTGTTGGGCGCATGTGACAGCAGAGGCTGCAGGAGAGGGGACGGGAGGGCTTCCCACACCCTTTTCGGGTGCAGAGTTCTCAGCATGGGGGATTTTAAGAGGGAGAGAAAGGAAGGCACCTTTCCTCTGTTTGCATCTTCTCTTTGGAAACACCGAGGTTCCATAAAGGTGGAGGTTAATCTTAACTAACTCAAAAAGGTGAACTCTAGAGCCTCGTTCACCTTGAAAACGCCACAGCGCTACAAATCTGCAGGAATTACGTGAAGAATGGTGTCAGGCATCCACACCCCAGCCCTGTAGGTCAGTCCGGCTGGTGAGATGCTGGGTGGTGACGGTGTGGTTTCAGGGATGCAGCCTCAGTAAATCTTTGCAAAAAAATTAACAGGGAAACGAGGAATTTGAGGACCCGCAAAGCCTGGGGGTAAGAATGTCCAGGCCATGTTGTTGCTTGTAGGCTGTAAGCAACCCTGTCCCGTGGGGCGGTGACATCCCGCTCGTACGTGCCCGCTGCAGCGTGGGGCTTGCCGTGCCGGGGCTCCCGTGAGGAACAGCTTGCTGCCACCCCAGCGGCGCTGACCGGCGACATCGTCCCACGATGTGGGACGTGTGGCTCTGCCATCGTGCC